GTTTCTGGGCTGCAACCACTCCCAAAGAACAAGCCTTTCTTCTAAAAAGGCAGATTAATTCAAATATTATTTTCAAAAATGTCCTAGAAAAAGCCAATCATCCTCCAGAAGATATTCAGCCCATTATAAACCGAATTCGACAGCTTAAAGAAACCCTTAACAGAATTATTTGTTAATTTTGCAGGATTATGGATTCAAAAGCAGGTAATTCCAGACCCAAGACTCCTCAAGATTATGAGATGAGTCTAACCCCTGTAAACCAAAATAGATTCCAAATACTTCAAAACTTTCCAGCTTTGACATATAGTCAAACTGCTAGCACTCCAACTTTTCCTCCAATAAGATTTATTCAACAAACTCCAAAATCTCCAGAAAAAGCCACAGAAAATATTTATTTCACAAAACCATTCACTCAACATATTACCCTGACCAGATTTCAAGAAACACCTTTATACTCTACTCTCAACCAAACTGTTCAAAGAATCTTTCCTCCAAAATGTTATTGGCAACCAGATGAACCTTCCAAAAATCTAGATTATTATGAATTAATTCTTACAGATACTCAATCTGTAGAAATATTCCCTATTCCAGATAAAAAGAATCCAAACATTATAAGTCACTCAAAATGTATAATAAAGAAAGTTTGTTCTCCTAATGAATGGACTTCTCTTTATTCCAAAAAATCCTTCTCAGTAAATTTTATTCCAGATGGATTCACATACCAAGACTACAAATGGCATGGTATCGTGCTTTCCTTTTTAGACCATTCAATCACTCTTGGTTCTTCACATTCAAAGAAAATTGCAATCGAGAATTTCCAATTTGGTTCAATCACTGGTGGAAATGGTTTGGACCACAATCAGACATATTACCTCCAAATGTGCTTATGGGATTTCAAACCTATCTAAAAAGAGCAAAGGGGGAAGAATACACAAGACCAATTGTATTTCATATGGAGTTCAAAGTTCCATGGATATTTTGCTGGAGTTTCAAGATACATCAAGAGTTAGAAAAACCACTCCCAATGTCATTGGTGAGAGAATTCAAAATTAAATGGTGGACAGGATTCAACCAAGAATTTGCAGATCAAGTAAATGTTATCAGATTCCTGACTACTGGAGATAAGCTCAAATGGACAAGACAGTTACCCACTACTTCAAAATCCACTACAAATTCTCCATCAACACCAATCATTCTGGCACCAACTCCAAATACTACTCCAATAAAGAAAGAAAAAGAAAAAGAGATGGAGATGGCATCCGAGGCAAATTCAAATGACTTTTTAATGAAAAAGATGCTACAAGACCCAAGACTACTCAAGGAATATTTGGACTATTTGCAAAAGCAAGAGAAAAAAGAAGACACAGCCAAAATTGATGAATCAGCAGAGTCATCCGAATCAACTTTTGATCATTTCGGGAGACCATGCGGACAAGACCCAAATGACTTCTGAGTCATTCAAAAGTAACGGCCACTTCAAAAAGGAAATCAATCACTCAAAGGTGTCGGCCACTTCTCAATAAAGGCAAATAAAATTCAAATACAGATGAAATGAAGACCAAATGAAGATCAGAGCCTCTATAAATAGCAGACAATTCCAGAAGAGAGGCATCGCGAAAAATATCAGAAGTACTCATAGACTTGTCTTAGTTTTCTTATCACTTACAACCACTCTAAACAACCCTTGTACTCAAAAGTCTTTGTTTTAGATTTCAACATTGCAATAAAGTCTTCAAGGTTGAATTTCCTTTCAAGCTTCCGTTAGTCACTCAAGAATCAAAAGTAAGTCCAACTACTTATGTTTATTACATTTCAATACCTGGACATTTTACAAACCAAGGAAAAAAAGTACTAAATTGGAACCATCTTAAAAGTGAGGGGATGAAAATTGATAAGATTTTATGTTACAGCCAATAGTCATTTCTATAATAGAGAGAGACAGTAAAAGCATATATTTTTTAAACCATTTCTATAAATAAAACCCTCCATAGCATTGAAGGCAATTAGCATGTAAAAATCATGCATTTGAGCCAAAAAAACTCAGCAATAGATGAAATTCAACTTCAATATCATACAGAGAATTTACTCAAAATAGACGGACTTTTTTTATGGGCATGAAATATGAAAATTTTATTATAAAAAACTCAGAATTTGAAAAACTGCAGTTCGGAGTTTTAGTTACTTTATTTCTCTTGCACTCTACATGAATAGGAACAAATAAATAAATAAATAAAGTTGTGAAACACAAAAAAAGGGAAAAAAAAGAACCTACAGCTATTTTTCTCCAAATGCGCTGAATATTTCATTGATTAAATCCTATATTTCATTGATATTTAGAGAAAGAAAAACAAGTTTAGAAAATTTAAATATGAGGGTATTATTGACAATTCATCACCTTTGATATTAGCATATGGCCCTACTATCACTTCAAGGGTGTTAAGTGAGATTTTGAAAAGTTCAAGAGAGCTAGGTGATATTTCATAAAACCTCAAGGGAGGTTTCTGAAATTATCCCTAAAATAAATAAACAAAACTACCCTCCATAACTCGCTGGTTGTTGCATCGGAAATGCTTTTCTCTTAAATTTGTTGTAAAACGGAATAAAATTGGATTAAGTTATATGCTAAATAACTAGGGATAGATGGTATATTCTACACATTGAAACTATTTATAAAAATGCCACAATGAAAAAATATAAAGGGAAAATGAACATGAGCTCCTGTCTACATGCTATGTTTTACAAGAATAGGGGCATTGGTCCATGGCCAGCGTTCTGTAGTATCAGCGAAGAGAAAAAACGGGAAAAATGATCTCTTTTACCAAAACAAAAATTTTGATTTCCTTAACTCTTTTGTTGTTCTGGTTTCGACCACAAATTTTATAGTTGCTTAATGGTGAACAATTCTTATAACTTCTGTGTTTGAAGACAAGATTGCAAGAGGAGTTTGGGGAGCTTTTTATCCACTATTAGAATAAGAAATTCTTCATCCTTCCATCTTTCATTTAATTGTTTTTAGGGTAAAAAATAAAAAAACCCCCTGTCGTAAATCTAATACACAGAAAAGCCTCCCATGGTTTCAAATTATATAACACGACCCCTCATGCTTTGAACTAAATTATAAAGATGACGGAATCCGTTAAACTTAACGGAAATGGACAAAAAGACTAAAATGCTCTGATATAATTAAGCAAAAGGCAGCTCAAAAAAATCATTTGTTTTATTCTTTAAATAGAGAGAATTGAGGGTTAAGGGATAGAATAGGTATATTTGATAAAAATTAGGTATAAATTTTTTTTTAGGTTCCAATAAGTCATTTCTGTTAAGTTTAACGGATTCCGTCACCTTTACAATTTAATTCAAAGTATGAGGTGTCGTATTGTATATTTTGAAACCACAGGAGGCTTTTCTGTGTATTAGACTTACCACAGGGGTTTTTTTTGTTTTTTACCCTTGTTTTTATTCATGATTTGTTGCAAGAATAACTTGTACTTTCATTTCATATCTACTGTGAGTAGCTAAGTTATTTGTATCGCAAGGTTGAGATGAACTTATTTGTGTTATGACTATGGATCGATGTAGCTTGATTATTACTCTGTTATGTACTTGCTAGTTCATGTATTCCTTATTTTATTTTTATAGTTTTTTGATCATTAATTGCAAACTATTCAATCTATTATTTGAGAAATGAAAGTTATTTAACAATACAAGATAGGAATTCATGAATCTTAAATAGTATATACTTACAAAAGTAAAGATACATTTAGGTGGTTAACTCAAGTGATTTCACTCCTCTATTAAACCTGCATCGAGTTATTCACCCATGAAAGTAAGTGAAGATTAGGTGTAGGTATATTTATTTCATTGGCAGAAGCGAAGTCCAAATACTTTAGGAAATTACATTCTTGGCAAGACATAAGTCACGAGCGTAATCAACTAATATACACTCATAATCTATTGCAAATGAGGGAGTCAAAAACCCTAGGATTCTACTCCTAATCATTTCATCCTTTGCAATTTACTTTCTTATTGCTTCTAGTATAAGTTGTAATTAGTTTAATCATTCGAATTCATATTTGTTTCGATAATAAAGTAAGCCATTGGTTTTAGTAATTGGGAGAATTGTAATTTTGGTCCCCAATCTATAGTGTATGTGCGAAATTATCCCCAATCTATTTCAAAAATCAATTTTGGTCCCCAATCTATTCAATTTTGCGCTAAAGTGGACAATTGACGGAATCTCTTTAGTTTCAATAGGAACTAAGTCACGTGAGATCACGTGTCGGCACCTAAAACCTCTTTTTCAAAATTTTAATTTCTAAAACACGTTTTTTAATATTTTCAGCTTTCTCTTGCCTTTTGTCTTATTAAACAAAGACATGCAAAGGGTAATCTCACAATCCAAATTACTCCTCTTGTTGGCCGCTGTCTTCAAATCCCCAAAACCCACAGCACGAGTAAGAAGCTCAGCTTGGCCTCCAAGTCCAAGTCTCGTTCTTGCCTCCATTAGCAATGGAGATAATCTGCAATCAACGCTAGAGACGAACCCAATTCAACTCTCCTGCACAAACAATAGGAGCAGCAGCAGTACTACTTCATAAGCAAGCAAGCAAGCAACTGAGAGAGAAGAGTAGATGATAATAATTGGAAATCAATGGGATTATACGGACCAAATCATCAAAGGGATTACACTGGTAAGTATATTCTTTTCCTATTAGCCATTCTTCACCGTTGAACTGGAATGAGCATTCAATTAAAATTGGTAGGTCATGCTTACGGTTGGAACAAACACTTTATCGGTGACTATAGAATGGGCCTTGTCTCTTTTGCTCAACCATCCCGAGGTGCTAGAGAAAGCTCGAGCTGAATTGGATGCTCAAGTAGGGACTGATCGATTGGTCGACGAACATGATCTATCCAATCTTCCTTATCTTTATAACATTATTTTAGAAACACTTCAGTTGTACCAGCAGCACCAATGCTAGTGCCACATGAGTCGTCCGATGACTATAAAATTGGGGGATACAATATTCCGCGAAGGCACAATTTTGCTAGTTAATGCATGGGCAGTTCACAGGGACCCAAACGTATGGGATGATCCAACAAGCTTCAAGCCAGAGAGATTCGAAGGCTTGCAGGTTCAGCCATCAAAGCTGATTCCATTTAGGAAGGGAAGGAGATCTTGCCCTGATTCTGGCCTAGCACAGCGGGTGGTGGGTTTGGCCTTGAGATCTCTAATTCAGAGTTTTGATTGGAAAAGAATTGACGAGGAGGAAATTGATTTGGTTGAAGGGACAGGAGTGTCCACGCCAAAAGTCAAGCTACCAGAAAAAACGTGTTTTAGAAATAAAAAATTGAAAAAGGGGTTTTAGGTGCTGACACGTGATCTCACGTGACTTAGTTCCGATTGAAATTGAAGAGATTCCGTCAATTGTACTTTAGCGCAAAATTGAATAGATTGGGGGATCAAAATTGATTTTTAAAATAGATTGGGGATAATTCCATGCATACACTATAGATTGGGGACCAAAATTACAATTCTCCCTTAGTAATTTAACAACCCTAATTTACCTTTTACTCAAATAAGAACCTATATACTTACAGTAGATGAGAACTAGTTCATTTACTTGAATATCTACGCCACGTCATCATAAAAAGAGGAGCTCTAGTTTTATAGCTAGAATTAAGGACTCTGAGTATAGTTTTCTCTGATGGATGATATTAAACAATCTGTGGTTAATTTTTTTAGTAGATTATTTTCTGATGATAGAGATTTTATTCATTGTTCTGCTTTACATTTTTATTTGCCCCAAGTCTCTTGTGATTATAATGATTTCGATTTAATGAGATTTTTTTTATTTGGTGTTTAGAATCCTATCTAGCAATTAGTCTTTCGTTGCAATTACTGGAGAGGCAGTAAGGATCCCTAAGTCCTTCCATGGTGTTTGCCATTTCTCAAGGTGACCCCCTTTCTCTAGTCCTGTTTATCATTGCTATATAGTTTCTTGAAATAGGCTTATATGATTTATTTGATAGTAGAAATCAGCAGTTATTTTATAATTCTGCTGGTGAAAAAATTTCCTACTTGGCTCTTGTAGATGACATGATTATATTTACTACTTATTCTAAAAGACGATTGAGGGACACTTGTCAATTTATTCTTCAATATGAGTCCTTTTTGGGGCAGAAGGTTAATATGAACGAAAGGTCATTTATTTACTCTATGAAGGTGTCCTTGGTCAAGGTCCATATGATCCAAAATTTGTTAGGATTTGGACACCAAAATCTTTCGTTTACGTATTTAGGTGTTCTCTTGAAAAGGGATATAACTAAAATTTTATTCAAAATATGTGCAACTAAGTTATATTTGAGGTTATTTTATCCAAGATATGTACAAGATTAGTGGGATGTATACCTGGCAATTGGGCGGATTGGGCAGGTTAATATTGGGTTTTCATTTAAATGGGTTACACCCAACCCGTCCAATTTTAGATTGAGTTAATTTTAGTTTGGGTTATATTGGGTCATCTCAAACTCATGACTCAAATATGACCCAATATATTAATTAATAGATTTTGATACATAAACTCTCTCAAATCTATTTTCACATGCAAAAAAAAAAAATTTTCACACACATAAATACATTTTTACATAGATAGATATATTTTCACACGCTAAAACACTCACAGATACAAATGCACACTCACTTTTTAAGCTCTTGACATACTTTATTTTTACACATACAAACACATTAAAATACACATGTATGATATGGGAGGAGATGGGGGTTTTTGGCGTGGGTTAGTGGTGTCAGAAATGGATTTAGCGTAGTTGTATTTTGCAGTAAAATGAAGAAGGAATCGTGTTATGAAAGTAAGGGTAGTTGCTTTGATCAATTAAGATCTCTTTATTGTCCAACTCTGCGCTAGTCTACTAGAACTGAGAATGGGAATGGCGTACTAGTACAACAAGAAGTGGGAAAGGCATACATATGATGTGGTGTTTGCAAACTTTCTCGAATTGTTATTTTTTTTCCAAAATTTTTTTTATGTTTTATTGAACGCATTTTTTAATTATTTTGTTATTTTATATATATATATATATATATATATATTAAATTGTTACATTATATTTTTTTTTATAAAATTTTCAAAAAATAACAATCCAAATGGGCTTATATTTGATTGCATGACAATATAAGAAGTGGCAAAAAATATTATGGAAGTAAAAGGAGTGGAATGCTCTGAATATAGGAAAATAATAAAACGTTGACGCGTGCAAGTAAGTATTAAGCTCATATAATTTTGTTAAGTATCCATACATGGAGGCCCTGCTTTGGCTCATGTCTCATGCTGTTTCATGAACAATGAAATGTTTCTGTATCCCATATCTCATCCCTTGTAATTTGTTTATTTGTTTTTTTACTTAAGTTGGGTAATGGGTGCCCAACACAAATACACAAACCGCCCAAATATGTGTGGGTTATTACTTATTATTACCCAACCCAAAATTAACCCGATACCCAACTTACCCAACCTATCCTCTCAAATTAGTGGGTGGGTTGGGTTGATTGTTGGGTTTTCGGCATAATTGTCAGGTCTAGTGGGATGGAGTACTAAGTTTTTATCTATCCAGAGGTTAAATAATTTTTATCAATAGTTCCTCTAAATCTGTTTTTGCCTCCCTTGATCAGCTTTTCAGTCGATTTCTTTGGGATGTTAACATTTATTCTGAAAAAAAAAAAAAATTCATTGATTGGCATGGGAAAAGGTTTTATTTGCCAGTGGAAGAAGGGGGTTTGAGTTTTTCGTGACCTTCGTAATGTTGTTGATGCTTTTAGCATGAAGTTATAGTAGATTTTATAGCCTAATATTTCAACATGGTGTAAGTTGATGCATCAGAAGTATTTGAGGGGTTTTCATCCTTTACAAGTCAGTAATATATCTAGATTGGCTACTTGGAGGATATTATTGTTTATTTGGCATAATGCTGAGTCTTATATTTCTTCTTCAGGTTTATTCCCGAGTTCTTCACCTTGGGAGACAAAGAGAGAAAATGTGTCAATGAGTCTCAAAGATAATTTAGAATTTGAAGTTACCGCGAAAACTTAGTTTCTTCAGTTGAAAAGTTGTTAATGGGTTTTTTTTTTTTTTTTTGCCCACCAATGATTTATTGCAATCTAAAGGCTTGTCTTCGGCCTCGTGATACGCTGGTTGCTTTCATTCTGAGTCCATTGGGCATTTGTTTCTTGAATATTTTATGGCGCCATGGCGGTGGCAGTTTGGGATCGTTACATGAGAGTATTTGGTTTTTTTACATTAGTCTTGTGCGTTTATTTCTACCAGATTGATAGCGTGGTTCCTTTCTTGCTAAGTGGAAAATATTGGGCACAGTAACCACTGGGCCAATGGCTCAGTGGCCACCAGGGAGGGACTTTAAGTCCCTCTCTGAGCTGTTGGTGAAGGTTCAAACCTTACCAGCAGCGAAAAAAATTTAAGGGTTGTGCCATAGCATTCTCTTGGTCTAGTTGGATCTATATATCCACTAGCCTCTACAAATAGCTTCCTTAGGCTCCCCCTCCCCCTAGATTAGGATAGAGTAGGTTGTACAAATGTACCGTCGCTGACAAAAAAAAAAAAATATATTGGGCATGGTTGCTTTCTTGTTTCGATAGTGGCATTATGGTTTATTTGGGGTGCCAGGAATGAAGCTCGATTCTTGGGAATATCTTTTCAGGTTGCTAGAATCATTTTTGCAGTTGACAAATTTTATTTCTCTTAGGTAAATTGTTTATGTTGTCTGGTCCTTAGTTGGTCAGGGGACGAAGAAACTTTTATGTGGCTAAATTTTTGTATATGTCCTATTAAGAAGGAGGCCATTGCTATCTCCTAGAGTCTTCCATCTAATGGCAAATTTAAATTGAATTCTGACGCTGGTGTCAGGAAAGAGCCTCGGGTGGTGGCTCGCTTAGAGATCAATAGGGTATGGTGATATTTACTTTCTTCATAGAGCTTGGAGACGCTAATGTGATTGAAGTTGAAGCTTTAGTATTTTATTACGGTCTAAATTTGTGTGCGCAAAAGAACTACTTGGATATCACATTATAGATTGATTTTTCCTACATTGTTAGTATATATATAAATTGACGGGTATAGGTGTATGCCACATCATCTAACTTTAAATTTAAGTACCAAATTTTGCTTATATGACATGCAATTAGACCCCGTAAACGTGTATACTTTTAGTGCATAAAAGATTTACTTTTTATTTTTTATTTGTCATGTACTAGAGGTATTGCTCTTATTCCCTTCCTTTTATTATTTTTTTATTATTTTTAAATAAAATGAAAGGGCTGGCATTCCACTCCCAGGGCTTTCTCAAATTATAAATGAAAATAAAAATAGAAATGAAGTTTGAAATTAGTTGAAACTTTTGTATGATTAACAGATTATATTAAATACTTAGATAAGAAATATTTATTACTATGGTTGAGTTTGGCTTTATTTTGAACTCTTACCCCATATATAGCAACAAATTTCTAGTAAATAACCCTTAAGAGGTACCATTTGAGTTTTAAATAATTGATCATTTCATTATCTAATAACCTAAGTTTTAAATTATTTTTTAAATTAAATTCATGCCTAGTTTAGGCATAATATCATGCATATCACAATATTCGACCCTGTTAATATAATAATTGACTAATTACACTATAATTAACTATGCACATTTAAAATTTAAAATTATATATAATCAAAACAAAAAAAAATCACTAAGATGAACTAATAATTAAAAGAAAAAACTAAAATTCACTAACTAATTGAAAAAGGAAACAACAATTAGTTAAAATACACAATTCCTACCGAAATAAAAAAAAGTTGGGCTCTTTGAAATCTAAAGTTGGCCTTAAGTATGTACAAATAAATGGCTGAAAAGTTGAGGATTGAGTCGTGAATAATAACAGAAGAGCAAGAATACTAGAACAAAGGGGAGAGTGGCACAATAGGGAAAGAGGTTAAAATGGGGCTACATAGACGAGGGATATGATGAGGAAAGGAAAGGAGAAAGAATTGCAAACTTCAAGGGTAAAAATTCAGGGGTCATTCATTTAACTTCTTTAAATGACATATTTCCTTGCATGGGAGAATGGTATTTTTATCCAATGGCATGAGAAGGGTGAACATATCAAGGCCAGAAATTCTGATGGCATAATTGTCTTTTCAGCTACTGACATAAAACAAAGTTCATTTCATGGCTTTGACTATTAGTCATGGGGTTTGACCTGCATACTTGGTGAATAAAGGGGCTAAATTATAATTGAGTCTGATTGCGTGTGGCTACTTTAATTAACCTAAACTTATCAAGCCTAGATCCATAACTCATTCACATTAAAAACACTATAACTTTCTTCTATAAATCAAGTTAGTTGTCGAGACATATATTAATTTGTTTTGTTTGCTTCACCGTCAACTAGCCATTATAAATTTTGAGGTTCATCAAACTCTTAGGAATATAGTAAGAATACAATGTTGCAAAATTTGAGGTTTGCATCCCTAATATGGAGTGTCTTATAGTGGTTCTTATAGATTGTTTACTGATGAGAGATTACTGGTAGCGAGACTTGTATTTAAAATTTCATTAGATAATGTGAACAAACCTTACCAACTAAGTCCACTCTCTTCAGTGGACTTAAATTAAAACCAGTAATACAACAATATGCAAAATTAAAATGAATGTTTCTCTTCAGTGCAACTAATTGTGTCTTGACAATCAATTTTATTAATCCAATTTCAAATTCACCACCACCCATGTGGGTCATCAATTGTATGATGTAATTGCCTAGCAATTTTAGAAAGTTCCTTCCCTTAGTTGACCACCAAATGAAATTTATGCATATAAAATTGAAAGTAAAACATGTGGGATTTTAGGTAAGGGAAAATCTAAGGTGGCGTTTGGTTCGCACGTTGGAATCAGATTCGGATTCGGAATCGGATATCCTGGATTTGGAATGAGGTTATTCATTCCAATACATTTGTTTGGTTCAAGTATCTGGAATGTGTATCATTACTATAGTTGATATTTGGTTCGTCGACTCTTTCGGAATGGAATATAATAAATATATTATAAACCACATCGTAAATGATAGTTATTGGCTCTTTGTAAATGGGATATAAGAAATTTTCACTAATTAAATATATTAGTATAAATGTATTAGTAAATTTAGTCTAATTAATTAATAATTTCTATTAGTAAACATTTATAATTATTAGTATAATTGATAATATTAATTATATTACATAAATTAATATACATTATATAACACATATAACTAATAATAATATTATTATAAGTTTGTAACTAATTAAATTAAATATTATATATATAATTAACTATAAATATACAAATGTTATAATATAAATATATAATTATAATTATATAATATATACAAATATTAACTATACTAATATTTTATATAAATATAATATATATTACATATTAAATAAAGTTATTATTATATATTATTATATTTTAAATAAAAAGTATAATTATAATTAACTAAATAATTATAATATATATTTATATAATATAATAATAAAATAATAAAATATTATAATTATAATATATTATATATATGTACATATTATAATATAATATATAAATATAAATATATATTATATATTATATATAAATATTAATTATACTAAATATTATGTAAATATAATATGTAAATAATTATACTAAATATTAGTATATATTATAATATATAAATATAAATATATATTATATATATATAAATATTAATTATACTAAATGTTATGTAATTATAAGATTTTGGAATCACACTTGAGTTTTGGACAAAACCCACCCTTTTACTAGGGAATGGAGAGATGCCAAATTTTTGAAATCATTTCAAAATTTCAATTCCATACCAGTGAACTAAACACCAATTATGGAGTTTATTCCATTATTTCATTCCGATACCCTTTTACCAAACGCCCACTAATAATCTCACAACAGGAGGGATTATCTATTTGGGAGAAATATAGTTCTGGTCCCCAATGTTTAGCCTATATGCCAAATTAGTCCCCAATATTTTTACAAAATAAATTTACTCCCCAAAATTTGTGATTTTAGACAGCTTTAGACAACTAATGGAATATCATCATACTGAAACAGATTCTTGGGAGAAAGAGGTATTCTTGTTGATGTTTCAGCCAGCCAGCAGAGTTGGAGTCATACTGAAAATTTTGGGGGAAGCCAGCAAAGGGGATGGCTTGTCAACTTTTGAGTTCATAGGCAGTGGAGTTATTGGAGCTTTGCTGAATTACTTTGCGTCCGGATATTTCTCCAAGTATGGAATTTTAGAAGCTGAGTTTCCTGAGCTGCAGCAACAAGCTATCAGAAGGTACAAATCTAGACTAATTTGATTCATGGCCAAACATTGGGAACTAAAACTGCAACTCCCCTGCAAACAACTTCCTGCTTCACTGCTCCCTAGTGCCTGCATCACTGAATAGCAGTCGACAAAAATTAGGTCTCAAAGGCTTCATTTTCTGCAAGATTTTTGCGGTGGAATCATAGTGCAATCAAGATTTTTCCAGGTGAGGTATATTTGGGCCGTAGGATTATATGCAATCATGTTCCTTTTAGGTGAGGTATGTTGGCTTCCTTGATTAATTTCCTCTTGTTGTTTCTGATTAATTTACAATTTTTTCAATGCTTTGCATTTGTAGGTCGAAAGTCAACAAGATTCATACAGTCAAGTTATAGCTGACAAGTTTGGTGACATTAGTTACACTTTTTATTTGGCAACTCCGTTTACTAGAAAACCGCCAAAATCAACACTTTTGTATTAATTAGGATAGATTACACTTTAGTCTCATGTGATTTAGTGCTTTTCCATATTAACCTTTTACCATTTCAAAAACTATATGTAACTCCATCATGAGCATAGCATAAGGAGACTAAGCAACTCAACGAGTTTTTCTGTTTACACCATTACAAATTTACAATGGTGACATACAGCAAACTAACTAGGCGTCTTGGAGAAGGGCGTGAGGATGAGAGGATGGCTCACCT